TTCATGGGGTCACGAAGAGTCGGACACGACTTAACGACTAAACAACAACAACAACAATCTGCATAGCACCACATTTGCAATACAGAAAGACCTTTAAAATATGTATTCTAGTAGATGATATTTTCTATTTGGTTTAATATATAGAATCTAGGTTGGGAGGAACCTGGTCACTGTATGAATCCATTTTCTGAGTTATATATATAGTGCCTGGACAAGCCCCTGTAGTTTTTTTATTTATTTATATTTATTCATCAAATTTGTACAGCCGCCAAAAGTGACTCAAAAAAGTGATTCTGGGCGGCGTACAACACTTAATTAAAAAAGCAACTAATATATAAAAACATTCATTACAAAAACTATAAAAAACACAAGAACAAGAGAGGATGATGTTAGCTGCAATAAGAGAGCCATCGCAAGATCTCCCTGGTCCTCTGGGACCCACAGGCTTGATGGCATAGCCAGGTTTTGAGGGATTTGTGGAATGGTAAGAGGGATGGAGGCAACTTCCGGGGGGGAGAAGATCCCATAAGGTAGACACCACAGCAGAGAAGGCCTGCCTCCTGTGACCTGCCAAGTGTAGTTCCCTGGCAGATGGGACCCACAACATGCCTTCTCTGCCAGATTTGATGAGATGGGCAGATATAATTGGGGAGATACGGTCCCTCAGCCCCGCCCCAAGTTTTCTTGGCAAGATTTTTCAAAGTGGTTTGCCATTGCTGCCTTCTTCCTAGGGCTGAGAGAGAATGACTGGCCTTAGGTCCCCCAGCTGGCTTTGTGCCTAAGGCAGGACTAGAACTCAGTCTCTTGGATTCTAGCCTGGTGCCTTAACTCTTGCACTATATAGTGACCCGTAAGTGAACCAAATGGCTTGGTTTTCACAACATACTAAGGCAGAAAAGCTTAACCAAGGTTAATATTAGAATAATATATAAATGGGTCTGCTACTCTTCCTGAGCAGGCTAAGCATACAGTATTGTATGAACATGGCCACTAAGTAGAAATCTGGTTTGAAGGCTGGATTCTGTATCCCTTTTTCTCTATAATCTGCTGCTCTTTCTTGCCCAGACCCCTAACTCTGACAGACAAGACCTTCCATTAAGATCACCATACCTGTTCTTTAGCAGCTACTCTGTCGACTTCTGACTCTCTGCTAATATATGGGACTCCCATTCCCTTATCACAGTTTCCCAAGAAATCTGAAAAAGCTTATCTTCTCCAACTCTTGCATAAGAGAGCTGCAATGAAGAAAGGATGGGACTTCTTTGTGTTTGCACAACACCCTAAACCCTAAAAAGCTCTCTTGGTGACCACCATTTTGTAGCATGCTGTATTTTAACCAAGGTTTGAGCTTTGCTAAATAATCCACATCCCAAAATGTCACTATGGTTTTGTACAAATTGAAAGTTTTTGAGCAAATTAAAATTGGCCATTTTGGCTCTGGACAGCCCAATAAGCCTTGACCCTTATTAAAATCAAGGTGGCAATGGGTGGGGTGAAAGAGAATAAAATGGCAGTGCCCCTGCATCCATTCAGACTTATGGTTTAGCATGTTGTGCAAACACAACTAGGCTGGATAGCCTGTCAAGCAATTGGACTACATTTACTCTAAAGGATTAACTCTCAGATGTATTGTTCTCAATCCCAGAAAGTAGAATCCACTTCATTTGTCCCATGTATTTACCCTGTATATCTGTATAACTGTTTTGATACGTTTAGTCCAGTAGATTCAAGCCCAGGGCTACCTTATTTGAGCTGCAACTCCAAATGACCACTAGATGGGAGCAAAGAGATACAGAAAACTCTTACTTTGCTATGCTATTGCTAGTCAAAGATCTTAATAAAGTTTACCTATTGACTAGATTTCTTTTGCTGCTACCTAGGGATTGTATTTTCCAATCTGTTCAAGACTGCATTGGTTGGGAAGAGAATGCTTTACTCAACAATGCAAAACCAAGACCACTAGGTGTTGCCCCAACATATGCAAGAGAGACAGATAGTCTACTGAGCAAGAAACAGGACTTAATATTAGGGCTCATCGGTTTGGAACTTGTACTGAATACTAATAGAGATAATATATGGAATATGTGAAATAGTAAGAGCTTTCTGAGTATGTAAAGGCAGGATCCCTATCCCTAACTAAGGTGTCACAAGCAGAAGTGAGGTCTTCCATCTCCTCCTTTTAAAAGAAATGTAACACTGTGTAATACTTAATTTCTTAAGTGTTCAAATGTTTTTCAAGTTAATTAGTGCATTCCAATGATCTCACGTCTGGTCAGTCACAACAGACTACTTCAATGTGTAGAAATTGTGCTCTGGTATGTATTATTACAATACTCTAGTTTGCCGCAGTTGCATTTGCCTTGTTCTCTTCTTCCAGATTGGAGTCATCCTGTTGGACCACTTTGTTATCCCTTTTTATTTTAATCAATAAACAACTTGTTATTCTCAGCAAACTTTCTCACTTTACTGACTATCCCAAATCCTATGTCCATGGCTGCATAACATACTGAAGGAATAAAACTTGTCACATCCTGAATTGATTGGCTTTGCTTTAAGAACTAAATGAGCACAGTGCAAACTAACTGGATCCTACTACTAAGTGGGAATATACTAAGGAGAACAAAATTAGGCAGAGCATGCATACAGTTCTTTCTCATCTTCTACAGACTGTTTTTTAACCAGGATTTCAGACTCAGTTACAATGTGTATCTGTGTAACCAACCTATCTTCCCCTCCTTTCCCACAATATAAAAGCAATTGTATGAAATAGGTAGACTTGTGTCTTGAGAAGGTAATTCACCATGATTCTCTGTTATAATTGGACTTGATGCAACCTAAAATATTTCTGGATCTAATACAAACTGATTAAATCCTGCACATTTAAAAATTGTTACAGACTGTAGACTTTTGGAATGCACTTCGTATTATAAAATGCTTTCTCGATCATATCACTGCTTCTTGTTTTTCGGAGTTCACAACATAATCTATTTATCAAGCTTAATTAAATGCTAGACTCAACTGAAGTTGGATTGGTGGTTTATACTTTATTGTGTTAGGGAGAACCAAGAAGTTGTCTTAGCATAATGGGTGAATCAGGTCATCACATTAAACTATAATATGGTTTATTTGTTTAGGCAGTGAATGTTTAATGAACACAGCAATTGTGCCTAGAGTTTAACAAGTTAGGTGAAGCAGCTTATGCTTTGTTTACTTAGAATTGCCTCCCATTTTGTTAAATGGAGCATTCTTCAAATCAGTATGCATTAATTTCAGATAACACATTTATTTCAATACTATGTATTCTCCCCTGATCATAATGTAGAAATCCATTGGAAGTGTATGTCTTGGTCATAATGGGTCTAGGGCCATCTCCCTCTCTCTCTACCCTATTGCAAAAAAGAGAGAGTGGCAAAAAAAATGAGAGATTGTTTTCAACAATGCTCATTCCTTTATTGTCATGGCTGGGATTTGGTTGTGGCACTGCTCAGCGCTCTTCAGGCCTGCACCAAATCAAAGCAACATTACAGTGTATTGAAAAGCTATCCATCCAAAACCAGAGGGGGTTGGGACAGCAACCTCTTCTAGTACATTATGTGTAATATATTATGCATAATATGTCCTGTATATTCATATGTATAGAGCAACAAGCATGGGCCACCGTACACCAATTTTTGACTGCCAAAGTAAATCACCACAGCAACAGGCACAATATTTTGGTCCCAGTAGAGGCCCTCGCCTTGCCAACCAACCAGTCCCTCCCATTCTTCATTCCCCTCTGGATTTTTCCCCCCTCTCCAATCACCCAAATAGACAGAAATCCCATGATTTTCCCTGGGTGGGACACCCATACATACCCACACAACATACATACTCACCACATACATTCATATGTAAATACAGACTCTCTGACATACAAAGAACAAAGAACATCAGAAATCTACATCTGAGGTTGTCGCAGCAATGCAGCAGAGCTGTAGGAGCATCCTAGCTCCACCGGAGAAGGGATGCCACAGCTATCAGTAATTGGTTCTCGTCTTAAGTTACAGTATTTCATTGCAATTGTTCTTGTGTTTTGTGCTAGGAAGTTATCTGAGGTTACTGGCAGCACAGCAGCAGATTGAGAAACGGAGTAGGAGAGATCTTCAGACACAGAATATATGGCCAGAGTAGGAGTACATTGCCAAAGGTGTCACTGTTCCCCATGTTTGTGTGCAGACAGGCTCACTGCTTCAAAATGCCAGATGTGGTTAATTGTCTAGTAATGACCCCAGATTTCTAGAGCCAACATGTGATTATGCAGGAGGAACAACTGGTCTCAGCTTATCTGCATCCAGTTCCAGTCCTGGTTGGATGGGAAAAATTCTGGTTATGTGTCTTTTCCATTGTGAGAGCATCTCTTATGTTTGCAATGGAATAGCCTTTGCTATCAAGAAGGACATGTCTCCTTTGTTTTCACAGGTCTCCAGTTCATATACTTTTATAGTCCATGGTAAATAACTTCTAGAGGACAAAAGGCCTTATAGTAAATTCAAGTGTTCTTAATTAGTTTAAGCCCACAAATAAATTGACTTTGAAGTGTCTCATCCTTCTTTCTGTATGTGACCATTGTGCTGTAAAGTAAACCTAAAAGATCCATTTGGATGTGCTTGATCCTAGTTCCAAGGTATTTGGAATTTAAGAGATGCTGGAAATCAAAGGCAAGGAAGCATTGATTAAGCGGATTCAAGCTACTTTTACCTTTTGCTGATGCGGCTCCTTTAAGAGTTGAGGGGAAATAAACATATATTCTTCTTATGGTCTGAGAGCCAGGTTAGCTTCTAACTGGCTTGCCAAATTCTTAACTATCATCCCTGAACATTTTTGTTGCTTTTGATCTTTAACAGTGTTCCTGTACTAGCTCCCATGATTCGTCAGCCATGTGCAGCATAAAAAAGCACAGCAAGCGAGCACAATAGGAATGCCAGTAGCTATTCTAAACAGCAAGTACGAAAGATGGACCAGAGCTTTAGGGTCAACAAAGCAAGGACAGATTGACATACTACATAGTAAAATAATGTAACATTGTGATGTGTTAGTTACCACATTACCACCTCTAGAAAGCCTTTTTTGTATCAAGTTAGTAAGAACTTCCCAGAAAATGTCCTTTTGCTGTTTCTGTACTACAGGTACCAAACTGACTGACATTAACTTACTGTTTGAACTTTGCAATTTTAAAAGTGGATAATACAAACATGGAGCCCAGGTTAATGACTTTGGAACAGGAATTGCCCTCAGTTCTGTACTCACATTTGCTAAACCCAGGTTATAATCCTTACTTCATTTGAAAGAATAGAAGATGAAACAGTGGTGAGAATTTGTGCTACTATCATTCTCTCAATGGTGAAAGGTAATAAATGATCTTGAACATTTTAATCCCAGAGGAAGCAAACAGTTCCTAAATGAACCACAGAATCCTAAAACAGAAATATTCCTGCAAGGACAAAGCAAGGTATACGCAAAGGAGACAAAAGGTATTCTGGTATGCTTTGGGAGAATCATTTTGTCAGAAATCCCAAATGTTACATGCCTCAGTATATAAGCTTTCACAGGTTAACCTCTGTCACCACTCTTGGATCTGCCCAGTTCTGTGCTACAGCTCTTTCGATGCTAGATGTCTTCTTATCCTTCCTTCAGGCACATCATGTTCTGGATTCAGAGCACAGAGACATGAGAATCTATACCACAAATTACTGCCAGCATTGGATGGAACATTCAGGATCATTCATCAATCTCAAGACTTCCTTCTCTTTCCACTCCTATAAAAGCTAATCAAATTAGCCTTTCTAAACCTCTCATGCAGGTTTTCTGTCCTGCTCCCACTTCCCCTCTCATGCCCTGATATTTTTCTGCAGTTCATGATGGCTTATCTGGTTCGGTTTGGGTAACTCTGGCTTTACCCATGCATATTAATACCTGGAAACATGGCAGCTAAGGTTACCAACAACGTAACAAGTACAGCTGAGTGCTAGCAACTTCATGGGTCACATTCCCTAGCAGAGGTAACCTGAAATTTTCCACAGAAAATTCTGTTATTCCTAGAAAATTTCCTCTGGATGGCCAACTTTAGGACAGCCATTCTGCTAAGTATAAGTCAAAGTGCAAAAGGTAACTTAGGCAGAGGTACAGAGAGATACTGAATATAAAGACTGGTTTTTCCATTATTTCCTCTTGGTCTCAGTTTAGCTCCAGAAAATTCTTGTCACTACTAAGTTGGCTGCTCTATTAAACCTGCAGTTGCCACTGAAAGGAACTTGGTGAATTGGAACATGCTTCTGGATAAGATTATACCATTCCCTGTGCTCTGTTGAAATAACTGGGTATTCAGCTCCCCTTCCCCATTTTACATACATGGTTGGTTTTCAGCTACAAAAATGTTCTTCCCAATTAAAGTACAGGTGACTCCTTGTCTTGGTAAGTTGGCCAAGTTTTTCAATTATGAGCTGCTTGAAAGTTGTCTTGTCTTTTTCTGAATCAGGTGTAGAGAAAGTTTCCTAATGTCACAAAGATGCTTTTGTTAGCCCTCTTATAGTTCTGCTTGCACGATCAGTACCCAGACTACCTCTCTGCAACATCGGTATGTGGAGGGTAGATGGAGAGGCTTTGAACAGAAGATGAAATGAGACCTGTGCCCTTATTGCAAAAGCAGAAGGAAATCCATATATTTTGGTGAGATCAAGATCCTGCCCCTGAGTCTCGCCCACTTTGATCATCCTCACTGCATAGTATACTCATCGAAGTTGACTATGATTTCCGTAGTCCAGAAGAAACAGACAGAACCGCCACTGGAGCTAAGTGTGGACTGTTCATCTTCCCATTGCCCCCTAATTATTTTTTTTCTTCTGAGTCTAAAACATACATGGAATGAAGAAAAAGCAAGCATTGTCTTCTAGAAACATTGTGCACCGAGCAAGTGCCCCAACACTAACAGGAAAGCCAGCAGCACTGCACTTTCCACCAACTGAGGCTGCTGCTCAGCTGGAAACCCCGCATCATCACAAAGACACACCATAAATAAATATGTTAAATAAATAGGGTGATTGGGTGACAGATCCAGAGAGGGCTGGGGATGTGGACCCCAGGGAGCCATCATCTCATACAGACACACACACACACAAAACATAGCTAAAGACAAAGATGAGTTAGTGCAGGGGACACCTCTCCCTGGACTATGTGTTCTCAGAGGCAATCAGTGGCAGAAGAAAGAGCGCAGTCCTCATATCTGAAGAAAGGGGAAGGGCTCATGGGATGTTATTTGTGAGCCAATGTTGTGGAAGGGTTCTGTGAGCCGGAGGCTAGGGACACTTGTGTTGCTGAAGGTGGCAAGGTGCGAGGAGTCTGGCACCTAAAGTGGTATAAGAGAGAAAAAAGAAATAGGAGTAGGAATCACATTTACCTTTTCTTTCCCTCTCTGTCAAAAGCATTTTTTTCTCCTGCTTAAGAAATCAAGAATTTTCACCTGAGAAAAAGAACAACAGCAGTTGATATATCCTTCCCCTACATCCTAATAACTCGTTGAAATTGATTAGGCCAGTGTTTCTCAACCTGGGCAACTTGAAGATCCATGGACTTCAACTCCCAGAATTCCCCATGGTGGCTGGGGAATTCTGGGAGTTGAAGTCCACGCATCTTCAAGTTGCCCAGGTTGAGAAATACTGGATTAGTATAGAAATTATGACTAGTCCAAAGTTTCCAGTAAGATTCATGGCTGGGTGGGGATTTGAACTTGGTTCTTCCCAGTCTATTCAGCACTCTAGTGCTACACTACACTGGTTCTGATAAGACTACCAGCCTATTTTGATGGGCTAGATATTATAGACATAGATGTAACACTATTCAGAGACAGGTCACACTCTAGTTCTGAACATTGGGTTGGTGCCTACTAGGCTTCTATTTGACCAGCTTCCCTCAGTCTTGGCTTGTACTCTCCATGGCTCATTCCTGCTAATTTGTCTTTGTAATGCCACAAAACTTATAGTTTAGTTAAAGAACTGAGCCTACCACTAGAGCCCAGGATTCTGGCAAGAGCCACCTACGTCTGCTTTCCATTCACTAACTCACCATGATCGTGACTTCCGTACTCGAGATGCTGCAGGTCGCTCAAGGAGGCTATCTAGGCGCATCAGCCTCTCCAAATGCAATGCTCGTGGGTCATGCTCACTTTGGTCTTGTGTGATCTCAAACTCAAATACAGCTGGTGGAGAGACATCTAGTTCCAGAAACATTATGTTCTCAGCCTTTGGTGGAGAAGTTGGAAGAAGAAAGCAAGGCAGAAAGATGTTGATAGTATCAAGAGGCCAGTTTATTACAGAATTGGAGCAGGGCTCTGGTTCAACATATTGTCAGCCCTTCAAGTAGACCAGACTAAGAAACCAAAGTTATGAATGCTAATACTACTTCTATTATAAGGTTACAGCAGTGTTTCTCAACCTTGGCAACTTGAAGATGTGTGGATTTTAATTTCCAGAATTCTCCAGCCAGCGTGGCTGGCTGAGAAATTCTGGCAGTGGAAGACTACATGTCTTTAAGTTGTCAAGGTTGAGAAACACTGGGTTACAGTAACAGAATCTTGCAAGTCTGAATGTGCCTCCCCCCTCTCTCCCTTTATCTTCAAGAGAATTAGGGAGGCTCAAATCTGAGATGCTTTCTCAAATTACATTTCTGCCTCAGACTCAAATTTCTTTTATCTGATCATCGTCTTGGTTGCGGCTCTTCCTCCTGTTCCTCAAGGTTACTCTTACAGCCTATTACACATATTTAAGTGTGCAGTAGTTGAAATAAATACATAGTCCCTATGCAATGCTAAAATAGGATGATCCTATATATCTACATGACTAAGCAAATCCTGAACAGTCTCCTTCATGGTCTGAGTCCATGGCCTTTTACAGACTGACAGCTTTTCATATGAACCTACCCGTATTTTTGTATTTTGCTCAGAAGTCCTCAGCTGTCAAGATTTCAGTAAAACCAATCCCCAAGTATTTTTTCTAGGGAATATTCATTCTATCTGTCCTTTGATAATCTTCAGAACCTGCCCAAAGGTGGAAGTATTTATCAGAAATACTTTTTGACTCTCTTTTTGCTTAGATTGCTGTTCTCACTAATGCAGAAAAGATTAACCAAAATGTTCATGGGACTGGAACAAATCCCCAAAGAGGAAAGTGGAGGGTACACAAAACAGATGTATAAAATTATGCCTCATGTGAAAAATGGATAGAAAAAAGGTTTTCTCATAAAACTTATACTGCATAATACTATAAACCAGGATCATCCAATAGAAGATTAGGACATTTAAGACTGATAAAAGGACATATTTATAAGCACATAGATGGAGTTTATTACCCAAAATATAGAAATGGCTGCTAACTTGAAAGCTTTTGGAAGGGGATTAGGCAAATTACTAGCAGACTATCAATGGCTGCTAGTTATGACTCCTATATATTAACCCTATTAAGAGAGACAGCGTTTCTCAATATTAATTGCTCAGTAACATGATTCCAATTTACCCTCATATCCTACTCATGGACTTCCTTCTAGTATTTGGCTGGCCACTGTGAAAACAGAAGGCCTAACTAGTCAGCTATTTGGTCTTATCTTACTCTGAATCCAATTAGTCATCCGTTTTCTTGATGTGACCTGACTGTTTATTTGATTGTTTTTTTAATCTTAATTTACTTCTGTAATACAGATTTCAACATCTTGTTAGCAGCTTGTTGGGGTGTTTTTGGCCAAGGCTGGGATACAAATGTTGTTTAACTGAATTAGATTAAGACGTGCATTTATATAACATGTGAAGTTTGTTTTGCATTTGTCTTGGTTAGGTTGTTTAAGGCTTAGCATGTTGTGCAAACTCAGCCTATTTGGTTACTTTATAGTTCAACGTATTGTTGAAAAATGGGTTTGTTCAGTGTCCAGTTAAGCATGTTGTGGAAACACAGTCCCTGTTGGAATAGGGCTTGCCTTGTAGCCAGGCAGTTTGGTCTTATCAGGGACTTCTTCCCTTCACCAAATGCCAGTCCTCCACCTGCTCCGTTAAGAGCCTTTTTCTCACCCGATACCGAGGATGGGACCCCATTGACATGGCTAGGCGAGCGTATTGGCTGATTGGCCTTTTGTATCCCACTGCAGAGGTTGGCCGCTTTTTCATCTGGGTCCCAGTGGTGGAGTTACTGCTGCTGCTGCTGCTGCTGCTGCTACTGTTGGTATAAAAGAAATAAAGAACATGCAAGGATTTTCTCTTGAGCAGCCATGATGAATGTAGGACATGAGGCAACACAGAGATGGTTCCTCAGTTACCATATACCTACGTAGGATTCCCTTCTACCTTTTCCCCTCTAAAATCTAGAATTTAACTAATAGAGCTCATCTTCCATTTTTTGCTGCTCAGTCTGCCTCACAAGTCTTATCTTTGCAACCATTTCACAATATAGTATGCAACTTTGCCGGGGGAGGGGGGAAGTGTTTAGGGTCATATATAGCATGGCCTTTGAATGGCATGCCACGGTTTTTTTATTTATTTATTGGAAAGATTTGGATAGCCACCCATCTTATGTGACATAACCCTGGGCAGCTCACAGCAATAATAGAAGAATAAAAACAATAAAAACTAACAAAAACAGAACATACCCAGTGCCCCAAACACAGCACACATGCACACACATATGACAACTGTAGAGATTCCCTGGGGTCCAGCTTTACATCATCCCAAGGTTTGCAAAAAAAGCCAGGTCTTTACAGCTTTTTGGAAGGCCGTGAGGGTACAGGACCTCTAAAAACTGGGTAGAGTGAGGACTAAGGCTGAACTTAATTATTGAATTAATATTAAACAAATTAAATATAAAATAATCCACAAATACAGAATGCATCACAAGTATGATTAATCCACAAGAATTTAATCATCTTCCCCTTCTATCATATTAAAAATTACAGTCTGACAGCAAGTTTTTTTGAGGAGTTTGGTGAGCCCCATGTGGCCCTGGGACCTCAAACTGCATGGCTCTAATTTACCATCAGCTTAAAAGCAGTGGAAGGAACGGAAGGGCTACCATTCCTGTGCCTGACCCCACTGGCGTCTCTTCTTAATCACTATCTACATGAAACTCCTCCAGCCTGGCCTTCCCAGGGACACTGGACAGAGATTGCAGACTCACCCCCCTGCAGCCAGCACCAAGGGCTGGAATTTCCATTGATCCTCCTCACAATCAAAGTAGAGGCGGTTCATGATCTTGTTTTTCTCCTCAGGAGGGATAAAGTTTTCAATGATTAGGTACCTGCACAAAATGGAAATGAGCAGAATCAAGGCAAAGAAACAACAACAAAACACTGCTCCATAATATTTTAACTGGCAGTTACATCAATAAAAGGTTGGGAGGGCAAAATCAAAGTAGAGGAGTGGTACTGTAGCTATTTTGAAATTTGTAATCCATACTATTGTAAATTATAATGAATTTGGGGATAAATCATCCTACCCAAGGAGCTCAGCTGAAATGGTTTTACTTCATCATGATTCCATCACAATAGCAACCTGCTCTTTGATAGTCTCAGGTGTATGTTCTAAGGCTGCATCATCTCATCTCCTCCCAAGGGAATCCTACCATGAGCAGAGATGCCACGAAGGGTAGGAGAGGGAGAATCCTGGGGCAAAATCCACTGTAGAAGAGAACTTCGCAATAGATGGTGTGTCTTATGTTAACTAGGAGAAAGGGAAGCCATTAGCTGGAGATAATGGGAATCATCGCCTGAAAAAAGTGAGAGGCATTGGAGTCAATGAGGTTGAGCTATTATGATCTCCCTTTCCTCAGGCATGCAGTCTTTTTTACATTCTGCACAGCACTGGCAACCTTGTTCAGTGCCATGCATATGTTGCAGAATGACACAGTGAGAAAAGATGGGAATGAACAGTAGAGACAGTGAATGAAAACAGGGTTTTCTGTGGCTAGATTACAGGGGTTGGGCCACGTTATCAGAAAAAAAGGTACTCTCAACATATTCTTGTGACAAATGTTTCTTCTGAAACATCTTCACATAACGGTTGGGTTGCCATGCTAGGCCAGAGAAGAGTTAAAGAGAAACTTGCCCTGTCACCTTACTCATCACTTGACAGAGCCTGTTAACTAGAGTCTGGGGCTTATGGTGCCATCCAAGCTGCCAACAGAAGACTTCAACAGCTGGTTTCAAAATGGTGATAAGCCTTGAATTCTAGATAACAAGGCACAAACAATGGAGTGGGACTGGGTGGCACCTACTGTACACTTTTGGGTTAACCTCTCCTTTGGTATAGTTTATCATAAAAACACAGCCAGTAATAGGTAGCTTTACTGTGCCAAAGGAAGAAAAAACCATGAAAACATGAGCACTAACTGGCTACTTGAAATGGGAAAGGCAAGCTGGCACACAGAAAGAATAAAATAAAAAGGCCATGAAGAAATTACCTCTTCCCTCAGGAACCATCCCACAGTTAAGAATTTTAATTGTAAACTGGCTCTTGTGGTGAGAAAGTATTCCTTCAGGAATTCCTTCAAGCCCCCCCCCCCTTTTTTTTGAGAAGATGTCATCTAACAGAGATAGGAGGGTTTTTTTTAAATCCCTGCCATTGCGCTATACCAAAATTAATTAGCATTCTAGAGAGGGGAAAAAATAAGCATTGTCGTATGAGGTTAATTGCTTTATCCCTAATTTAAATGTTATTTGTTCTCAGCATTGAAATTGGTTGGTTTGTATATTGCTGATTTTATTTTGTCCATCAACTCAAAGAAAAGAGGAAGAAAGAACAGGGCTATTTACCAACTTTTGGACACACTTCAGCATTGCCACCAGAATTATCCGGAAAATGGGCCTAGGGCATTTACTTTGTAGGGGTCAGGTGACCCAGGGAGACCAATAGGATTTCACTTCTTTTTTGTAAAGCTGCTGGTTCTGGCCTGATTCCTCCACTTGAGCAACTTGTCACTTTGGCACATCTGGGTTGCTTATGAACTATCCTTTCACACTCTCCTTCTGCCTACCAGCCCTGGCAATGAGATGGGGGGGCAAGAGGGTCAATCATTCCTTGGGACCCTCATAGACTGGACTGCACCTCTACCTCATCATGTCCTGCCAAGGCACCTACTTGAGTTTCAGTTCTCGCGTCTGCTCATTCTGTGCCTCCTCCAGGTCTTGCCGCACTCGGATGTATTCATCGTGTTGGTCCTGGATCTCTGCCTTCACAGCCTGGAGCTTGGCATACAGCTGCCAGATCCAAAAAAATGCTGTTTATTTAGCGGAATAGCTTTGATACCACACCTCACCTTTCCAACTGGCATGAACTACAGCTCAAGGACCACCTTTTTTTAGCCTGAAAAATATGCTCGTTTTGGAGTCTGCCGGGAAGCCAAGTCATAATATCACTAAAACGAGGGAGCAACCAAATTTCAAGTTCTTTCTTTCTTTTTTTTTGCTTTGGGGGATAGAGGTTTAAAGGAGTGAAATGGCTTGGGGGCTGTAATGGGTAAAATTAATTAAGACACCCTTTCTGTCCCTTAAAATTTCCCCAAATGAGAAAAATAGGTGAGACATTTTGGGGGTGCTTTAACAAGGTTTCAAACATTTTGGCCCCAACCATTCTAGCAAAAATCTGGGGGCTGTAAATCATTTGCTAGAAAGAGCTATATGTTTTCCATGGCCTGAACATTGTTTGCTCCTTAAATGGGCAATTCAAGAGACAAACTACAAATGATACTGTGTAGCTGCAATAATGTGATAACCTGAATCTAGTTAAACACACACATTTTTTAGGTCTGCACAGACATTGGGCTCTTCCTCACAGCCAAGTTAAAAGCTGTGTACCTGCCTTAAGTTGGCAGAAAACTATACTGGTGTAACATTTTCCAGCCTTCCCCTGGGGATCCCTATTCTGTGACAGGCACAATGCTGGCAAGTGTTCCTCTCTTTATTTAAGTGTGCAGGACATATTAAGGACAGGGGTTGGTGGATTCCTCTGGCTTTGCTTTCCTCTCTCCCGCCAAACATCACCAGCTGGTGAGAAAACCAATCACTATTCTGGAATAGCACTTAGCTTGTGTCCAAAAGAAGAATCAACTAACACCAGCTGATAGTCAGACTCTCTTCCAGCACATTCACTTGCTTTTTGATTATACATTGATTCAGTGCCTGCTATTGACACTTGTAGACACACAACTTTCAATTGACTTACTGCTTCACATGTTGTTTGTCTCAAAATTTCTTCCTGAGAATAGGCTCTGACTGGGAAAGACCTAAGCTTGCTTCTTTGCGGTGAGAATGCCCAAAGGTAAGAGATTCTGTGCATTCAAATAGTCATATTATCTTTATTCTTACTGGGTTAATAACAAAGGGCTTTTGGAGAGGGTTTGTTCTTAAAAGTAGAACATGCTTTACTTACAGAAATATATCTTACTTATTATCAATGTTAAAGGATCAGATATATTTATCCAGAGCACCAGTTGAAGAGTTTCACATACACAATTTGAGAGGTTGGAGAGGTGCTGCAAGCACACAGAATGATAGACTAGACTAAAATCAGGTTCGATAATCTGTAGTTCGGCATATTAACAGAAACCCAACCATTTTCTTTGCATGTTGTGTGAATCATGCTATCACATTAAACCATAATATATTTCTTTGAGCATAGCATGAAAACACAGCAACTGTGTGTTTTGTTAACTTGGATTTGGGGTTTAGCATATTGTATGAACCCAGCAACAAGAGGCCAAGAAAGGGGAACAAGAGGCCAAGGTAGTCACCATTGACCCTACTGGCTGGGACTGCTGGGTACTGAAATTCAACAATATCTTGAAAGCCAGAGATTTCATATAGCAGAGATTACTTTAAACAAATGTTCTCTGTTCTTAAGATCATATACAGGGAAGCCTCCCTTTCCCTTTACTAATTTATTAATTAAATCTTATCACTTATCCTGTTGGACACAGCTAAAATTGTGCAGTCTGGTGGAGAACCCAGGAGATAAAGGATTCTCAGTGAAATTAGTATTATTGCTCAGACCTCCGCAATGGCGAAAATGTAGCTGTTGCTTTGAAGGAGCACAATGATTTTGAAAAAAAAAATTATTCCCATTTTCAATATCTTAATGATTATTAGTACGGAATACCACTGTTTCCTACCATTCCTCATCTATAAAAAAAGGAGCAATAAACCTATCGAGTAGAAAAGCACAGCAAAGATACTGCATACGGAGTATAAATGAAATGTTCAATTTTGCACTTACCTATTATCTATGTATCTATCTATGGAAGAAGTCATTGAAATTTTGTCCCACTGGTATTACAGCAAGAAGAAAAAAAAACAGCAGAGGCTACACACACAGAAACTGTCCCAATTCTAACAGCTTCCATTATATACTGTAGGATAATTTGTACTCTGAGATGGGAGGAGGGAAATTTAAAACTCATCTAGGTTACTAGCAGCATTGTGTCTCTTATTTTTTCCCATCTATGGGAACACTTGCTATTCATTCCTATGGGAAAATTCAAAGCATTGATCTGAGTGACAGTGTTATGTGATGCCTACTCAACATCACCTCATCCCATGATATCAGCAACAGTCTTCCTAAAGTGGATGCAGGGGTCTCTGAATATAGAGTACGCAAAGACCCATAATGGCCTCTCTAGAAGTCACTTCAGTCTATATACCCCTTTTTTTGTATACATCCTAGGTGTCATAAAGACAATATTTAGCTGGTAAGTGATTAGGAATGACAGAGTTATCTTCAGCCTTAATTGCAACATAAAGCTGAACCCTTGTTCTTCTCAAAGTTCCTGACAAGCTTCTGCCAACCGAACATGGATCCTGCTGTTATCTATTGCAGGGGACAGTTTGTTCCTGATTTGGCTCCTTGGAAAGAATAATCTTAAAACATGTATAAGCCTGTATCTAATGAGAGCTATTAACCTCTTCTGATGGACATTCTGAAGGACTTCCCTAACACTAGAGTACCTTCCTATGTCTTATATCTCTGCAGGATTCTCACCTTTTTGAGCTTCTTGGTTTTGATTTCTACTTCCTGCTGTAAAGAGGTGAATGTCTCCCGGAGCTCCATGGTTTCCTCATCCCGCAAAAGCACTTCCTGTTGCATTTCCCGCTCACGCCGCTTCTGTGTTACAGAATCAGGCCAAATGTCCCTTAGTGTCAGAATACAATGTCACAACCTCCCACTAGAGTATTATCAGACAAAGCAACCTCTGGCTATACAGACAAAAGATTACAGTCCAGCATCCATGATCTGCTTGGAAGGTTGCTTGCATTTTGAAAGAGATCAAGGGTCACATCCATTTCAGGTTGGCTTGAGAAAGAGCGGGACACACGAGAGGAAAGTTGAGGGGTCCGTTGCTGATCCAGATCCCAGCTGGTCCTTACCTGCTCTGCAATTTCCTGCCTCTTCAGCTCAAGCATCTTCTGCTGCTCGTTCGTGTGGTCCATGATGTTCCTCCCACCAATCAGCAACTTGCTCTCCATTGCCTGAAGACAAGAAGGGGAATGTAACAGTAGATTATGGCAAGGGGTTCCATCCTTTCACCAGTGCAGTGTTGCATGTACAGCTGGACAGCCCTAACATGTCTGAATTGTTCTCTTTGAGAATGGTTATTCCCCCTCTTATGTGATTTAATTCATCTGAAAGTATTAAATATGTAATCAATGTGATAGTCAATATTTATCAGACACGTTGTAAAGTTCAAACTGTTATAGCAGATATTGGCAGTTTAATTCTTGGATCACAGAGGCTTGGATTATGTTCTGTCCTCCTTCA